AATTATTCTCTCCTCTTTGGAGCACATTTCATGCAGCCTCAGGTAACAGGGCTCCCTAATCTCCTCCTTTACTAACAATCTTCATGAAGGCAAGAGTATTTTGTCCAGGAGATGTGCGTGTGTGTGTGTGTGTGTAAAGGAGAAAATTATGTGCAACTCATCCTAGTAAATCCTAGTCTGCTTGTAAGAACTCTGATGCACTCAGTGGATCCTTGGCCTTCCCCTGTAAGGACTTCTGCAGGGAGACGTTTGTGCTTGCCCTCATGCTTGAATCATACTTCCTGAGTCCTTTAGAAGGATTGAGTCAGGACTTTTTGGGCTTAGGAAATGCTGCCACCGCCTTTTTCCTCAGTTCATGGACTTTAGCTTGCAATGAAACAACCGCTTCTTATTCAGTTACGTGTGCATAGAATTGTATACAAGACAAATCATTCTGACAGTATAAAACACGCTCAACTTTTTTCACCTCCTCTTTTCAGCTTAATCTCCAGGTTCCAGTATGCATTTTGTTTCCTGATGATTTGAAGAGTGTCTCCGTCTGTCTGTTGTCTTCCGTTCTAGTCATTTCGACCACTCTAGGCGGTTCCAGTATGCATTTTGTTTTCTGATGATTTGAAGAGTGTCTCCGTCTGTCTGTTGTCTTCCGTAAGCTAGGACGTGGAGGAGCTGAGCAAATCCTACCCTGCTAGAGTTATAACACCCAAAATCTGACTAAGAAGGCCTAGATCAGGGATGAGCAGGATATTGATTATAAGCTCCTAAAAGCTTCTTGAGCTTCTTTTGAGAAACGAAAATGCTTTGTTTTAGGCTGGTTGCCTTACAAACAGGAAATGTGCTTCCCTGGCATTCTTGCTGTCTTCTTTCCATTGCTTGGACTGGATTTGGCAGTCCTTTATAGGTCTGTGGAGCAAATGAACCATGGCCACTGTCTCTTCTACTTCTCTTCTACAGTTTTACCTGTCTTTAAGCACACGTGTAACATCTTAAAGCTCTTTGTGTCTGTCACCAATTTCGTTAGCATGCTTGGAGTATCTGCCATCAGGATCAAATTGATTTAAATCATAGTTTAAAACATGATTTAAACTTTATGAAATCAGATTTGTTTGACAGTTTAAATTTTAAAAATTAATTTTTCAAAAAATATAAATTGTGATTTAAATCAATCTGATTTTTTTTTTTAAAAAATCATTTAATTTTATCCACCCTGGCTGCAATAAGGCTTTAACCTTATTAAGACTGCTGAACTATGTGGAAATCCAGAAAGTGTTGGTCACCAAAAGGAGAAACTAGGCTGGATGTGGTGTCTGCTCTTTTCAATCAACGAAGACCTTGGCAGGTTTGAGTCTGACACAGAATACACTGCAAGTGGCTAACAGCAAGTAGTGGGGTGTGTTCCAGACTGTTATCCAGTCAGAAGTAGGAGAATGGTGTTGAAACAGACTGGTTTTGAAACTAGAAATAGTCAGCTCTCCTTTAGCTTCAAGTATAGTTGGGCTATTTGATTGCTAATGTCATTTGAGGAGGGAGGAAGATATTGGAAAGACACTTGTTTCTTTTTTGCTACTCTGCACACGTGTTCTTACACTGCAATTCAGATGTTATAGCAAGGATCTTCCTGGGATGCGACCTAGAAGCACAAGGGGTGGTCAAGATTAATATCTATCTTGTTTCTCAGAAGAGCGCAGAACAATAGAAGCTGCTTCAAAGGACAGAGGATTAAATCTACTAAATAAATAAAAGTAAGCCTGCACAAGTAGGATTGTACGGTTTGATCAGCATCATTAAAACACACACACCCCTTTGTGACTGATCTTGCACTCTTAAAAGTGCTCCGATTTGGAGTTCAATGAATCCGTTCATGAACAGCCACCAGACAGGACATTTGGAGACATTAGCCTTGCAAAGGTAACCACAGGTATTACTATCCTGCCTGCTCATATACAGCACCTCGATTTGGAACACATTGAGGGCCCATCCACACTGAGCATTTATTCGGCTTTCTCTGTGCTCATGTTGCCAGTACTGCATCCCAGTGTTCACACAATGCTAGGTGAAAGTGGTATTAATAGAGCCAGAGAGGGACCCAAGCGCTGCTTTTCAGGAGGTGTATTTTTGCTCTGATTTGCTCCAAATCATGCTCCGCTCATGTGGACTGCAGTACTATGCTGATGCATGCTGATCCCAGCAATTTGTGTGGAGGGGTGTCATTTGATGATGTTTCCTTATGGGTTTGTTTCTGCTGGTTAGTCTGCACCCCTCCAAAGCTTACTGCATTCCTATTTAGCTTTCTTGGGATATCAGCAGTTTCTGCATTCTGCTTTTTTTGTTTTCCAGTGCTATCAGTTTTGCACCATATCACACAAATGAAGAATAAAGCTAAATTAAAATTAGAAAGCATTGCATGCAGCAAAGATTTGAGAATACTGGGTGAATGAAACAAGAGAAGGGAGGAAAGAGTGAAGGGAAAAAGTCGAAGTGGACAGGCAAAAGGAGACCGTAATCTGTGTTTGCAGAAGCATTTCAGAAAAATAGTTCCAGGTGTGTGTGTAGACAGAATGATCCAGTACATCCAACAATGAACATTATCTCCATGTGTGGACACAAACGCCAGATTATCTATTCACATTCACAAATAGACTGCCCCAGAGAAAATGCAGAATGATGAAGGACTACACCACAGTATGGATGAGGCTCAAGAAGCTTTGCAAACACAGCTTTTTGACCCAAAATGAAGAATTTGAGTTTGCAAAAGCTTACTTGATTTCACACTTGAAGTTGATTTGTACTCACCATAGATTACCAGCATAGGGCTGTTTTTGCAAACAGAGATCTGTACAAAGACCAGTCTTGCCAGATGCACAGACGAACCTCATTTGGGTAGAATCCGTGAAAAATATTTCTTTCCCAGCTGGGCACTCCACTTAACAACAGTGCTCATTGGGGAATGTTTCTGTTTTGTTTCCTGTGTGTAAACATATTTTTGTTTTGTTTTTTCCCCCTAGGAAGAAACTAGTAATTCCGTGGCTGTGATATACTATGGAAAAGGATGTGAAATCAAAACTGGAAAATACCTCTTCTGAAGAACACTTTCCCAGGGACTGAACATACAGTTTAACAGACCCAAAACTGAAATGGCTATTAGAGTAATATATTCATGTAGAGATGAACAAAAGGATTCATTGCTTGATCCCTCAGCCTCAGGATCATTCTCTAATAAAGAGCTGCTTGCCAACAGAAAATGGGCTGAAAATGAAGGAAGCTTCTCAGGGATTATGTTCAGTGTGCAGTTTAAAAGTGACAACTGTAGTCAATGACAGCAGTATCGGGGGCAGTCCATTTCCAAGTTTGTCAAATGTGAAAGTGGGGCCACTGCTGAAGTTCGCTGCTGTTCAGTAATTTGGGGGTGTTTTTTTTTGGAGGGGGGAAATGTTAATATTTATTTTTGTAAGTTTTTAATTATCTATGCAGTACAGAATTCAGTTGACACTGGGTGCAAAGTTCAGCATGGAGGTTGTGCTTGACCAGCAACTGGGTTCTGGGTCTGTTATCAAAATAATGCATGTATGTATCTTCACTCTTTTAAACATCTGTCTCACATAACACACCAAATATTTACTTCAATTTCACTGCAGATTTATGTGGTTAAATACCACCCAAACAATAGAATAGATTTTTCTTGGACTACATTGGTCTTCCTCACAGTTGTAGGACTGGAAAGAAACATTTTGGAGGACCCGCCTTCTTTTGAGTAAACAAAACAATGTGGGAGACTGAGAGGGCAGGCAACTAATTTGAAGTATATTCGTATGGTAATAAAATAAGCCAGAAATCCTTCGTCCCTGAACAACGAATGTCAAGACCTCCCAGAAGACACTTGGCAGGGAGCAACAAATATTATGAAGACGTAACCCTCAGTACTTCAGCAACTTCAGAGTAAAATATGGTGACACCTGGGAAACTAGAAATCACAATTCAGTGTATCATATTGATTTGGCTTCCTTGCTACATAATGTGTTATAATTAAGTGCTTCGCATAAGGAGGTAAATTCAATTCCTGCTGTGATAGATCTTACTTTCTCAATTTCATATGGATTTCTCCCCTTGCCCAGAGATCATATCTATTTTTAAACCACTGTCCTTGGGCTAGGCAAAAAGTGCATGCTTTGTAGAACAAAACCATGCAGCTTAGTTTCAGAAGAAAGTCAAGGACCAGCTTAAATGCTAGTTGACTAGTATAAGTTGCCAGCACTTAGCGGTTGCTTCTGTGTGACTAAGGAATGTTCTACTACCAATCTGGTTGGGACAGATTGGATGTGGATATGCACACCTGCCAATTTGGAGAAAAGTAGTTCTGGACTACTTTTTTGCACCACATTCTGCCCTAACTGCATGGATAATATCTAGCCCTTTAACATTGCTGGGATGGCCGGAAAACAACTGCAGAATGAAAAGTGAATATACCAGGTTGCTGAGGCATCTCTCTCTCCCTCTCTGTTGCTGGAAGACATTTAACATATGCGAAAATTCTAGCCGCATTTTAAGGAGTAATTTGAGGTCTGACATGGCCTTCCACAGGAAAATGTAAAGAACACCTCAGTTTCACATTTAGCTTAGTATGTGGAAAGTGGTTGGAAAGGTGGGACATGCATCGAGAAATGTTGTGTTTGATGTCTTTGAGTGAGCTTTTAATGCCAGTGATGTGTGTATGTTTTTGAAGGATCTGGTGTTTTCTCTAGAGCAGTCCAGTGGACAATACTGTGTGTGAGAAGTTTAGCTGGTGCTTAACGGCAGTTCTGTCTCTGATGGGTCCTGATGGGCAGTGTCTATCTACCCTGTTTCCCTGAAAATAAGCCTCACTATGATTCTTCAGGATGCTCGTAATATAAGCCCTACTCCAAAAATAAGCCCCAGTCAAGTGAAACCCTGTCCTCCACCATTGTGTAGCATTGTGCAGCAACCAGAAGATGATAACATGACTGTGAAATAAAACATCCCCTGAAAATAAGCCCCAATGAGTTTTTTGGAGCAAAAATTAATATAAGACCCTGTCTTATTTTCAGGGAAACATGGTAGTATGGCTCAAATAGGAATATTCTTGGCTCACATTCCTGATGGTTGAGAAGAATTTCACAAGCAGATTTTGTTGTGACATCACTTGAATAAAACAGTTTGTTTCTGAAATGTATTGTAGGTCTGCCTTAAATAGGGAACCAGTAGGGGCTATCATTCTCTGGTAAAGTGCCAAAACGGTAATACTATTCTGGAATGGTTATAGACTTCAACATGACTGAATTTCTGGCAGATACTAATTGAAATGATATGTTTATGAGTACCTTTAGTTTCCAGCTAGCTGTGTTTATGTATGAAATAAAGCCACTGACTTAAGTTTTCCTCTGAAAGCCAAAATGAAACATTTTGTGGTAATCTGTGAAAGCAGATCTTTACCAGTGATTGAAAACTGACTCTCAAGTATTGTCAGCTTAAAAAAAATCACGACATTTGGTTCCTTTCTTTGTGTTCAGGCTGTATTTCCTATGAATGCTCAGCATCAATATGATGTAGAAACTGTGAATAATGATTGCAATTCTTTGTGTTGAGATCTTTTAAGACAAATAGTTTTTTTAAAAAAATTCCTCATTTGCCATGCAGCACAGATGTAGAAACTGTGAATAATGATTGCAATTCTTTGTGTTGAGATCTTTTAAGACAAATAGTTTTTTTTTAAAAAAAATTCCTCATTTGCCATGCAGCACTTCTCAATACAAGCTGGAGCCCGACAGGAAGATTTTGGTAGACATTGTGTCTTGGTGGGAACCTGTGGTGGTGGTGGTATTAATGGAAGGTGTCTGCTAATTCTTCTGGGAAGAGGGTGAGATTTCGTTCTTGTGAAGCACAAGACTCCATCAAACCATTCCTCTTAATTGCTGAAGAACAGCCCTGAAAATCAGCCACGTTTTCTGTTTCTAGGTTTTGTGACAGAAAATCCGTTTTCCTGGAGATACGTCATAGAGTTGCCAAAATAAATGTGTGTTACTGTTTTTTGGTTCCTGAAAAGGTTCGCTTCATTATGATCCATCTTTGCGATTTGGAGCGGACCGGGGGAGGGGAAGGGGGTGTTGGTGTAAAATGGTTAAGATTTGGTATTCAGCAGGGGATTTCGGAGCGATGTAAACAGCTGTCTGTTCATTCTCCATATTATTACAGCACAGGCATTTTTTTACAAAAAAAGAAAAAAATTCTCACCGTTGCGAAACACTGAGAATAAAAAAATCATCTAAAACCTGAAGCATCTCTGGTTGTTCATTTACTTCACAATCATGTATGTGTTTCTAAATATGGATCCATATTGAGGTGCTCTCTCCCACCCTTCATATAATAATGATGATGTGCCATCAAGTCAGTTCTGACTTATGGAGAGCCATTTTTCAGGGTTTTCTAGGAAAGAGAATACACAGAAGTGTTTTATCATTTCCTTCTTCTGAGACAGTGCAGTTTTTCCATGGCCAGCTTTATTTGCAGGAGGCACGGTGGGGAATTGATCTCCCAACCTCTGGTTTTGTGGCCAGATACCTGAACCATTGAGCTATTCAGCCAGCTTACCCTTCATATACAAAGGGTTTTTAAAAATTTCCTTTGCAAGATAATGATAATTTGATTTCTACAATCAATTTGAAACAAGTTCCTATTTTCCTCTTTCTAGACTTGCAGTACAAACCGAGAACATGAATAATATACCTTTGTTGGTATATTAAAAATAAAAAAGATGTAATTCAATGAACAAGTTTCATTTACTTACCCAAAATGTTTCTGTAGGTCGTATGTTACAGAGGAGAAAAAGTGAAGGATTGTATCATGGAATGGAGAAAAGTCCTGTGTTGACTTGCATTACAGTCCTGTGTATTAAAAGGTAAAGGTTCCCCTTGACAATTTGTCCAGTCATGTCCAACTCTAGGCGGTGGTGCTCATCTCCGTTTCCAACCCATAGAGCTAGCATTTGTCCGCAGAAAATCCTCCGTGGTCACATGGCCAGCGTGACTAGACACGGAATGCAGTTTACCTTCCCACTGAAGTGGTACCTATTTATTTACTCACATTTTTTGCATTTTGCACGCTTTCGAACTGCTAGGTTGGCGGGAGCTGGGACAAGCAACGCGGGCTCACTCTATTGCGTGGATTTGATCTTACGACTGCAGGTCTTCTGACCTTGCAGCACAGAGGCTTCAGTGGTTTAACCCGCAGCGCCACCACATCCAGTATTTCATTGTGGAAACAGGAGGTTTGTTTGCCGCAGCAAACTGGAGACTGCACATACTTCTGTTGGCAGAGCAGCCACTTGGGTGTAATAGGATTCTGACCTCTGTATCGTACTGACCTTGCAATCAACATGGAAACAATCTCTGCTTATTATTCAAGTAAAGTTAGGCTATCTACTTGTTTGAAAATACAAATGACAATGGTGATTCAGATCTGTTAGGATTATGGATATTAAAAGTGTTTTTAATGGAAGAACAGCATCCAGAACACTTTCATCTGGCCTTGCAGATTTGCTTCATTTATAGGTCTGGGGGAGGCAACATTGTTAGTGCTGCCTCTCTCATTCCTTCTCTCTGTGTAGCAGATAGATGTCAAGTTTCTTCCATGTTAATTAGGAAGTCAGTACAGTATGTGTTCCAGGAGGGAGTGGAAGACAGGAGGGCCTGGCATGCTCTGGTCCGTAGGGTGACGAAGAGTTGGACACGACTTAACGACTAAACAACAACATGTGCTCATGACTGGAGCAAGTCCCTCCTGAAATGTTGGGGAAGAGTCTCCCACTTGCATACTACATAGAGAAGTACAGTAATAAGTAGCAGTTGTTACAGAGATTTTAATAGGAAAAATCCAGAATAAAAGGAGTAATTTTAAGATGCCAAACATCTACATTTCAGAATGTTTTCAGGAAACTTCCAGAAACAACTTTTGAAGTGTAGGGGGAACTCCATTGAATTAGGGGAGTAAGTTTACGTTTGTTTGTTTTCAAAAAGTAGCTATCACTGAGCTGAACCCTACTGGAAAACTTGTGTGAGTTTCAGCCTCACACAAGGCAGAGAATCCTGCCAGTTTGAGCAAGAAAGAATTAACTACTTTCCATCAGAACTGTTACCTGTACACTGAATAAGGATAAAGCTCATGAAGTCGTATATGGAATAGTTAAGTAATAATATGTACATAAAATTACATGCAAAGCTCATGAAGTCGTATATGGAATAGTTAATAATATGTACATAAAATTACATGCACATGGGAAACGTATCAGACCTAGCAAGATGTGTGTGTTTAAAAAGAACTATTGTGTTAAGAAATAACTTACTATAGAACAGAATACAGAAAAATCACTGCTTGCAAGCTTTCTTTTATTTAATCGGCTTATACCTGTGGGCCTCACAAGATGTCTCCAGCTACATATTCATTTTAGCAAGAACCAATGACTGGTGAAAATCAGACATCTTTATGAGGTGGCTGTAGCAAATGATATCAGCAATCATGGTTGCCTAGGCAAAGTAAAAACATGTTGCTAAGGTTACTAGGGATGGCATTATTCACATAGCTATCTTTATCTCAGACCATAGAAGGTGTTACTATCAGCAGCCTTGGGTTTCCCTTCTTGCTTTCTTTCACCATCTAAGAAAGAGTGGAATGCTGCTTACAAGCAAACAGGATTTTATAGTCGGAATCCATACAATAACTGATTGGTAAGGTTCTCCATAGAGATAGCTGGATAGGTACTGTTTAGGTACAGTATTTGGCTGTGAAGCCAAAGGTTGGGAGTTTGATTCCCCACTGTGTCTCCTTGACAGAGCCTGGACTTCATAATCCATGGGCACAATTATATTGATCAAAAAACATAAGGTTCCTTGTAGGTTGTAACAAGGATAAATGAGTGTGAAGTACTTTGAATGCTAAGAAGTCTATGACTAGTATGGATTTATTGGGGGGGGGAATAATCCCCTGGTTGGGGAATGCAGTCCATTTTATCATATTTCCTAAAAAATATTTCTCTAAATTTATTGCCTGCCAGGACCATGGGCACAATTATATTGATCAAAAAACGTAAGGTTCCTTGTAGGTTGTAACAAGGACAAATGAGTATGCAGTACTTTGAATGCTAAGAAGTCTATGACTAGTATGGATTTATTGGGGGGGGGAATAATCCCCTGGTTGGGGAATGCAGTCCGTTTTACCATATTTCCTAAAAAATATTTCTCTAAATTTATTGCCTGCCAGGATGAGTTGTACCACAAATAGCATCATCCCCTGTCAACTCTTCTGCTAACCGTGTCCTAGCTCTGATAGTTGCAATAGTCTTCTTTCCTTTAAACAGGGGGCTTCAGTCCTGCATGGTTCAGGGAAAATGGCAAACCAGGCTGTAAGCTTCAGCCACTCCAGTATCCTCAATGGTCCACATATGTCTCCATAGTCCTGTTACAATTTCTTATAATGCACATATTGTTATGTAGGTTAATCCTCAAGCTGATTTATATATTCAGACCCAACAACTTATTATAATGCACATAGATTAGTGGGGGCCTAGTGGAAGGGATTTGTGCTAGCAGAAGCTTACATTATGACTTTATATTATCCTTTATCAGGAACATAACCTGAAGATGGCTTGCAATTCAAAAGTGTATTCGTGACAAAACAGGCTGTAATCATTATCATTAAACTCATATGGCAGATCATGGGTCTTTTAAAAGTATTCATTCATTGATTTATATACCACCCCATTAGTGCAAACACTACTCTGGGTGGTTTACAAGATTAAAAGATAAAACTCAGAAACATCCCAATAAAGAAAATACATTCTAAAACTATACAGTGATACACAGAGAATGATTAAATTATACATATAAATAACCTTATAAAATCTATGGAGGTGGCACAGATGGAAGAAGTTCAATGTGTATTGTGTGTAGTCATCATTGAGTTTTTATTCTAGTTTTTAGTTTGTTATTTGTAAGTCTCCTTTTATTAATTAAATTAAAATAAAATTAGAAACACTATAAGGTAGTTTTAAACAATTAACAGCATCGAGGAGATTCAATTATTAAAGCAGCTTTAAGTAATTCTGTTTTTACCAGCTTTCTAAAGATAAGGAAAGAAGGAGAATGGCATCTCTCTGTTAGCATGATGTTCCAAAGAGTATGGGCCAAAACCAAAAAGGCACCATTTCTTGTATTTACCTTTTGGCCTCTCTTGATGTGGCCACTTTTAACAGCATGGATTGGTAGTGAAAGTGGGACAGATAGCTAATTTCTGGAAGAGCTGTTCCAACAAGTATTGAGATTTTAAACTATAAAGGGGCTTATAGGCCACACCCAGCACTTTAAATTGAGCATGGAATCTGAGGGGGAGCCAATTAAGAAGCGCCAAGACTAGGGATATTATTATCAAATTTACTAGTCTGGAGGACCATCAGTCTGGTTGCTATAGTTTGGACCTGCTGAAGTTTTCTATCCTGTTTTCAAAGGCAGTCCTAGAGAGCATAACAGTAGTCAATTTTTGTGATATTTTTACAATTTTTTTTACATTCAACATAAATTCTAACTTTTCTCCCAAAGCTCCTATGGAATCTTTAACCATCAGGAAGCTATTGGGGGAGGGGGACACAAAATGGATGAAGGAAGTTCCACAATAGTGATGAGGCAGGCATTTCCCCTGGTTTCAGCCTTATAAACAGTTAAGTAGTTTTCCACACTGAGGCGCCACAATTCACTGCCCAAGACAGGATTCCTTAATCAGACTCTTTTCCATTGCCACCAGTATTCTCAAGCTTTGTGTCCTAGCCTTTGGCATAAAATGGAACACAGCCACCTGAGACAATCTAAAATGTTTTCTATCATTATTGAAATAAAGAGATACTATTTTACAAAACAGAGTATTGTTAACTGGGTTTTTTTAAAATAATTACCTAGTGGCAGTTCTTAAAGAAAAACTGTTGTTATACCAGGATTTTTTTTTAAAACATCAGCCAAGTGCCCTAAATTCACCTTGTCCAAATATAGATTTCCTCACAACTCTCAGTGATTAGCGATAATACCCGGTAGACTGTAATGGGCCTGAGTTGGAATCCCAGTCCAGCCATGGAAGCTCACTGGTGGTGTGGAATTGGCAAAACCACTCCTTAAATATCTCTTACCCTGAAAGCTCTATTAGAGTTGCTCTACTTCAGTTTCGACTTGATGGCAGAACAGAAAGGTAATTAAAAGGGGGGGAAAGGTTTAGAATCTTTAGCCAGTGAGGCTTCTA